TAAGTAGTAATACAATTATATGATCAAAAATAAAAATATGGATGTTATTATAGAAGATACTAGTAGAAAGATGGAATTAAAAATAAATAAATGATAGAAAGGTAGTAAAAAATTTAGTCTTAGTAATACTGCTTTTTATAGAAAGAACTTCTATTTACTTTATAGGGGCATAAATGCCTCAAATCAAAATAAATGAGATAATTAAATAATATAGGAATCTTTAGAAAAGAATTAAAAATAGATTTAAATAATAATTACTTCAAACTATCAAAAATTGATATCTAAAGAGGACTAATTATGAACCTAGATCAAAATTAGATCCCAAGGTATAAAACCATGGACCTACAGCAACTCTAAGATTCTTTTTGTTGTTATGCTTATTGATAATGTGGGTAAAAAAAAAAAATTGAGGTCAATTGAGAGTATGAGAATTTTTGTGAATTATGGTTTCAGATAATTGAAATTCAAGATCAATGATGGATTTTGGAAATTAGCATTATCTGCAAATTTTTTGAAGCAAAAATTGATAAAAGTAATTTAGACTTAAATATCTACACATAACTTAATTTTTGAAGCTATTAAATAGTTCAACAAGGAGAAACTTTATTGAAAGATCAACATTCAAGTTGGAGAAGGAGGATGGCCAACAATCAAGAGGTTTTGGGATCTTTTTTGACAATTGGTACGTCTAATTTTTCTCAAATTTTGTATACTTATTAATTGCTTTTTATTTAAAATTTCTATGAAATTTTAATCAAGATATATGATTCAATTAATAATTATTGAGGTTTCAAATAACTATTATAATTTATTAAGATTAATTTAAGATTTTCTTGAAATTATTTAGGATTTTTTTAGGATTTTATTAAGATTTGACTTGAGATTTGATTAAGATTTATTAGGGTTTTAATTAGGATTTTAATTAGAATTTGATTTAGGATTTAATTAAGATTCATTTGGATTTCAATTAGAGCTTTAATTAGTATTAAATTAAGATTTGATCTAAAGTTTTATTAAATTTTATTAGAATTTTAATTAAGATTAAATTAAAATTTATTTAGAATTTCTATATTTAATATTTCTTTATGTTTTTTTATTATTTCTTTCAAAGTTTCTATTTATAACATATCTTTAAGATTATTATTATTTATTTAAGTTTTTATTTTTATATTTTTTTAAGATTAATTTATAATATACTCTTTAAAATTAATTTGTAACTTATTTATGTTTTTTTTTTCTTTTTTTTTTTCTTTTTTTTTTTCTTTTTTTTTTGGTAACTTCTTTTTAAATTTACTTGAATTAGTTAAAGTTTGATAGGATTATTAAAGATTATTTAAAGTTCATTTAAGACTCTATTAGACTTGTTAGGATTATTATTGCATTTTTATTTACCTTCTATAGCTAGGTGCTTGGTGCATTCTCAAGCAAGAATATATGAAATTCAACAATGGCTTTCAAACTTTCCAATATAAAATAGTCTTTGTATTGCATATTTCTACTTTTGTACTTAATCCTTCACATTCAAATTTCATGATTTTCTTGTGAGCTCCTCTATTACAATTCTTCCAAAGAATTCCATTTTCTATCAGTCATACCTTCTTGCAAAATAAACACACTACAAAAGATAAAACTAAAGAAGCCATGGAAAAGTATAAAGCCTTAATTAATTCAAAAGCAAAGTAAAGTGGAGATATGTGGATCAATCTAAGTTTTAAATATATCAATTTAATATTCTATTATTTAGATATATAAATATATATATATATATATATATATATATTAAATATTAATTATAGAATAATCATATTTAATTAATTAAAATATTTTATTATGATATATCATTATTAAATTTTTACATTTTAAATTCTCATTAATTTGATCAAGTAATGTAAGACTATAAAATAAATTATATTTAAAATTCCTTCAATTATAAGTAAGTAATGATTAATAATTTTCAAATATTATATTTATTTATATATATATATATATATATATATATATATATATATATAAAAATTTAGATTAAAAAATAATTATATATATAAAAATATTGAATATAAATACTTACGTTATAATAGAATATAATAACTATTTTTTTAACTTACTAAAATATTAATACTAAATTTATTATTTATCAAACATATTAATAAAAAATATTTTTTTAATTTTTTAAAATTGAACGTAATTTTATTTTATATATAAATAATATACATAAACAAAAAGAATACATATATATATGTATATATATATATATATATATATTTAAAGAAATATCTTATAAAGTTTTTACATATACATTACTATTTTTTTATTTTATTTTTATTCATACTTTATCAAATTTATTTATATTTAATTTATTTACCATATTTTTATTTTTAAATATTTTTAAAAATTACTTAAAAAATATTATTTAATTTTTTTTAATATTTTTTGAAGTAAAAGAATACAAAAAAAATATAACGTAGTACATTTAAGTGCAAAATACACAAAATTACAATAAGATGAAATATTTTAAAAAGAGGTGCATAGGAAATAATTTATCAATGATATATTAAAATTACCAATTTTGTTATAAGAATAGAAGAACCAAAGTTTATAAAAAAAATCTTGATTATCTTTAATAGTAGAAAAATTATAGATATGGTAAGAAAATATTATAATTAAATAAATTTTAATTTTAATATAATATACTATACTTTAATATTTGAAAGATTGAAAGAAATATTATATAAATACACATATTTTATTGTATAAGTTGAATTTCAGAATGTTTACATGTAATTTTTTGATTGCTGATATCATTAAGAGAATTTTTTTAAATTATTTATTTGATGCTAATAATAAATTATAAAATATATTAATTGAAATGAAGTTATTTATTTATTTTTAATCTAACTTAACTCTTAATTTTAAGACTACTACTTATTGAGCTTAGCCTAATTTGCATGCTTAGATTTTACAAAAATGTTGTGTCATTTTCAAAATTTCAAAACCTTAAAAGAAAACTATAATTGAAACATTTGCCCAACTCTAAAATAATGATAGATTTTATTTTAGTTTATTATTACAAACATCCAACAAGAAGATTTTAGAAATATTATTAGATTTTAGAAGGTTCTAAAAGATTCTTAAAATATTTTAATAGAATATTTTAAAAGGATTTCTAAAAATTTTGAAAAATTCTTAAAATATTCTAGCAGATTTTTAAAAGTCTTAGAATAATTATGGAAGTTATTTAAGAAGCTTCCTAGGGTTGCCTCATCTTCAAGCAACATAAGATCTTCTCAAGAAGCTTCGTAGAATTGCTTCATCTTTAAGCAATATAGAAACTTCTCAAAAACCTTTTTAAGGTTCTTTAAACAACATAAGAACTTCTCGAGAAACTTCTTAATACCTTCTATATATTAGAGTCAAGGTTGAAGGGATCTTCAATCTCAACAATATATTTTTTGGAGTTCTACCTCACTTTTCTTGGTGTTGATCTTATATTCATCTTGATCAAGTTTTTGCTAGCTTTCATATTGATACTCTTATGTTCAACTTCTTGTTTGATATTTTGTATAATATATCCATGACATTGATCATTATTGGCTTTTTCTTGTTCAAAAAAACTCAATAAATTTGGATTTCAAATGTCCATGAAATGGTTGGAACTCTAGGATCCCACAAAACGACCTAATTATCCATGAGTTATTAAGGGGATTTGGACTTAGCACATTTTCAAAACCAATAAACAAAGATTTAACACTTGATATTTCTAAGGTCATTCAAATTATCAAATCCAAAATATCACTATTCAAAATTTATTATCCGTTGATATTATCCCAGGTATTATCCCTAATTCAAACTTTGTTACCTCTTTGATATGGAGTCAAAGAGAGGTAAGGCAAACAAGATAGTTTTTGATATTTTACAAGCTCTTCTTGTGATATTTGGATTTAAAAATCATTCACCTTGCAAGGTGGGTGATTTGGTGAAGTATCGAATCATATTTTGAAATATCACTTTTGGATATACTTTTGGATCTCATCATTGGTGAAATATCACCCAAAAATGCCAAGTCTGAATCCCCTCATTAGGGAGAAAGTATAACAGAATAAAAAAGTGTGTTATATGGTTGTGCTACTAGCATGCTCTATATGATAGGGTCCAAGGACCCAGAATGTCAGAATCTAGAATGCCATATTAGGGTTTTCTTTCCTTTTCAAATAATGCAGCCGGTATACCCCACATGTGTCAAAACGAAAAATAACAATAAAAAAGAGAAAAAAAGAAGAAGGGACATGCTATGGAAACTAGGGTTCAGGTGCTACTGTCTCCAGCAGCATTGACACCGAAGTGGACCTGGAGGTTGTTTCTTCCACTTCCAGCTTTTGCCACTGACGAGTGACGAGTGTGAATGTCTCAGGTGCAATTCTAAATGTGGCAGCTACTCTTCCGAAATTATGGGTGTTTCTCAGCTTCTCAAGCCACTTGCAAATGATTCGTGCAGGCCAAGCTATTGGCAACAGTTTCGACGTCGACCAACTAGATGAAAAGAAGGGCATCCTTCTGTGATACTTCCTCAAAACAACAACTTTGGCTTGGTGTCTATCGTGGTCAATCGTAATCCGCAAGCTCCGCAACAATTGCCGTCATGCAGAAATTACCCATTTATAGTAAATTAAGTCCAAGTTTTCGTTCGCAAGTGACGCATGCTGCCATGGAGATTGCCAGGGGAGAATACTATCGGGAGATTACAGCAGGTTCTTTGAGTCTTGCTCGAAGTAGACCCAAAGACTCGCGGATTAGCATGATGCAAGAAGCTCTGCCAGGAAACCCAGGAAACTGCCTCAACTCTGGATTTCCAAAACCCTACTGAACCCTAAAACATGAAATCTAATCTTCCACGACTTATAGCTATCAAGTTGTTATTCTGTATTGTGAAAGTTTATCGAACAATTGACAGAGTTGCACTAACATGTCCGCCAAACTATTAAAAGAAGATTTAAATCAAGATAAAATGCAGCAATAAAAGATGAGGCAGTATCTTGATTGGTTATGTGTGGCATAAAGTTACAGAAAGGTATTGGATTTAGAGCTTGAGGTATGTAATCCTTTACATGACAAGAAGCCCCCCAGGTGATCCACGTCGTCACCTATTGTTGCGTGGTCAGAATGTTTTCTAAAAAATTGATAGTATATCCTGCATAGCTAACACACTTCAGCAGCTTCAAAAATGTGCTGTGAAGTGTCACGAACTGGACCGGTATCTGAGATCATCAATCTGTGTCCCAGGTTTGTGGACATACTAGAATCTGTACCCTAATATATGTAATCTACCACAAATTTTTGTAGCTGCTGAAGAGGAGCTTGTCGCCAGGGAGCGGGGTGTCCCAATGCTCAACAATCAGAAAACAGAGGCTCTCTCAATGCACTGTCAAGGCTCTGGAGCTCGAGATTGAGGAATTGAGAGCCCAGATCTTCGTCCTCCCAGTAAACGCCAGCAGGGTAGGAACCCCCTGCACTGTCTATCGACGGAGACGAGCTGGAGTTTGAACCCGATGCGCCGTCATAGTAGTCATCTGGTCTGAAGGACGGGATTGAATAAGTATCTCTTTGATGCAAAAATCTGTCGATGTCCTGGGGTTGCTCGCATGACGAGAAAGTTCCCGCTCGTTCCGCTTGCGAACTGTAATACTGCTGTTGCTCAAACTCGGGTGCGCTAGGAAATCGCTGCTGTGGTGGATAAACTCGCAACGAGGAAGACGAAGTGGTGCTCACATCTGGTGATGGCGTCGGGTCTACCTTCCCACGACTGTCCCCAACAGTTTCTCGAAGAAGTATATCCCTAATGTCCAAGTCATGAATAGAACTATCGAAGTTGGCCAACGCTATTTCGTCGTCGTTGAAGTCTTCCATAATTCCTATATGCAGTGACGTGCGACCACTACTGCCTACATTTACCGCAGTCTCTAAAGGGCGATGATGAGGAAATTCTAGCAATTCTGGTATTGCTACATCGTGCATTTTTCTAGGTGGCGAGGATGACTGCTCTGTGCGTTTTGAGGAAGGGACAGAATCAAGCCCGGCCGACTCGTGAGCAGGCAAATTGAGCTCTGCCAAAGGACCATAAAACTTGCGAGCCGCGATGTCGTAAGCCAGCGCTGCTTCTTTAGCGGTCGGAAAGCTTCCGAGCCAGAGGCGAACACGTTTTTTGGGCTCCCGAATTTCTGCAACCCATTTGCCCCAGGTTCTCTGTCGCACACCACGAAATTCACAAGCAGAGTTCTCCGGACCGCCCTTGCCTTTCATTGCCCCTTTCTTCCATCTCTTTCCGGGTTTACGAGGAGGCTTCTCGATGTGGCCGGAAGTTGGACTCAGCCTGGCATTCCCCTGGTTGCCCAAATGCATGCCGGTTCGCCTAATCGTCGTCGTCTTGATCGCCTCCCTGATTACAGATGGGAAATTACTGCTTGGGCCTCTAATTGATAATTCTGCTCCCACCGAGTCTCTAAGTTACAGAACTGCGACTGTTGATTGCTCCTGCTCTCGCACCAATCAGCGCATTCTTCCGCTTCCCACAAAGCAGACAAAAATCACGAAACACTTCACAAAATCCTGCAAATGAACCATCAAAAGAGACGGCACTACTTGGAACTCAATCCTCCTCTCAATTTTCTCGAAACCTCACCTCCTCTCGATGTTCTCGAAACTTCTTCTTCGCTGGGAATTAACTAACTTTCTGAACAAATCTACACCCTCTAGCAAACTCACAAGCAGTTCTACGCCAGCTGGCGTGTCTCTCTCAATTCTCTCACAGCTGCTCGCAAATGCAACTAAGAACATAGGCTCGAAATTCCCACTCTCCACCAAAAACCCACTGGCAATTCGATTCAATCTTTCACTCTCAAGTATCACCAAACCTGTTTAAACCCAAAACCCACTTATCCCAGCAAATCTCCAATCACTTCCTCTGTCGTCACTCAGCAACTATCACTGCGATGCCAATCAAACCAGCTACCGATTCCTATCTACCCAATTCGCAGAAATAGAAACGCAGCATCTTTCACCCAACCCAATCAACAATCACAACTGTGTCCACCTACTGATTCCTGGTTTAAATTCGTTCTTTCAAGCTTTCGCGACCCTGGCAACACAGGAGGCGGAATTTCAGCTGAATGCCGCTACGGAGAGCTAGACCTAGCTCACTGAAATCCGAGACGGATAATCCTTGAGGGATTGGAATACTGAATCCGACCAGATGGGGCTTATATACAGTCTACGATCGGGTGCGGGGTGAGTTGCCACCACGCTAGGACACTTCATTGCGAGGGCGGTTACGAGCCACGCTCCTGCTTCTCCACTTGGGCCCGTCGGAAGCTCTGTCGGAAATTTCTGAACCCAAGCAACGCGACTGCGACAGGCGCCAAACTTGGTCGGTAACACTTTTACCCTGGTTTCCAATTCGGGCAACTTGTTTCTTCCTACTCAAGCCAGTTTCTCACCATCACTTTTTCGGGATTGCGTAAAATTGTACTTTGGTATTTGACGTTTTACCCAATAAATCTGAATCAGATCCCCAAAAACTAATATCTTGTAAATATTTGACTTCACTTTGTCAAAAGAAAAAAAGGTGGGTTGATTGGTGAAGAGTGTAGCCATTGTTGGCTCCCTAATACTCTTCCATGACTAACAATCATGGATTGTGAAAGGTATTTGGAGTAGAATGTGCTTTAAAAGGGTGGTGTGATGTTCTCTTACAATGTTTATAATATATATATATATATATATATATGCTGTTTAATTTAATATTAAAATTATTTTTAATATTTAATTATTAAATATATATATTATTTATATAAAATAACATTTTTATTTTAAAAAAGTATTTTTATTTAATATTTGTATATTTTATATTACCAAAGCAGCTAATAGATATCTATTTGTATATATTTAAATATATATATATATATATATATATATATATATTCATGGATATATAACAAACTAAAATATCAAGCATCCATAAAAAAATTCTAAGACCTCTTAATTATATATTATTTTGTAAAGATCTATAAAAGCTTTTAGAAATTTCTAATCTTCAAAAATCTTTTGTAATCTTTTATAGTCAGCTAAGATTATTTTAGGTTTGTAGAAGTTGGTAAAAAAGATTCTTTATATTTAAAGGATGTTTATAATTTCTGGAATCTTATCTATAAACTCCTATAAGTTTTTGTTGTAATTATACAAATATGAAAGCAAAACAAGGAGTACCTCGAAGTTTTGAAGCAATCTAAATGTTGTGTTGTTCATAATGCATATATATATATATATATATATATATATAGTCTTATTTCTTATTTAATATCTTACTTTTCTTGCATTTATTGATTTTTTTAAAATTTTCATCCTTGAGTTTTCATTAGTGTGTATTTGTTTTTAAAATAAGTATCAAATGTTTTTTGAAGGATATTCTTCTATCTTAATAGTTGCAAATTATAATCATTTGAACTAAATTTTCTTGTAACATGTTTACTAAAAGAAATAATAAGTTACCTTCTTTTAATACATTCTATTCAATATAAGAGAATTTAAATTGGATTATTTTTTAATAAGAGTAGAATTTTTATCCATAATAATATCTCAATCAAGCTTTGTATTTATATAAAATTATCTTTAATTTACTATAATAATTATAGTAAAATAATTAATTTTTACTTAAAATAAAATAAAATAAAATAAAACAACTTGCAAATAATAATAAAAGAATTATGCAATATCGAATTTAGTGTTATTAGGATATTAAATCTTAAAGTTATTTTTAATATTTTAAAATTAAAATAGAAAGTATAGAAATAATATTTCATATATATATATATATATATCTTTTTTCTATAAAAAAATATATAAGGTCAATTTGATGCAACTTGATTTAAATTCATAATATTTATACTAAAAAATATACAAAATAACATAAGAAGCTGTTATAAAACCAATAAATCATATTACAAATTTAAATTACATTTTTAACAAGAAAAAAATAATGATGCTTAAAAATAATACTAAATAGCTATGTTCTATTAAAAGATAATTATGTCATATAGTAATAGAGACTATATAATGAAATACTACTAATTTTATATTTAAAATATTTTTTAATAATTTAATCATATATATATATATATATAAATATTATTTAATTTTTAGAAAAATACTTAAAACTTCAATCAAAGAGAAATTTTAAGCCAAGACATAGTTTCAAACCAAGAAGACCTTAAAGAATCTAATCATGTTTCAAGGATCTAGTCATGGATCCTATCATCCAAACGAGTGTTAGTTTATTTTTTGGTAGTGTGTTGATAGTCATTGTTTACTTGGAAGTCAATTGTTGTGATCACATTGGGTATTATTCTATGGCTACAATGAGCTACTTTAAGAAGTCAACTAGAAGGAGAGAGGGCATTACAATAATGAAGTTTAGCACACAAATTGCAGTATGGGAGATATAGCAAAGTAATTCTAAATAGAGACTCAGATACAACACCTCTTAGGCTAGATATCTAATTTGCAAGGGCAAATAGAAGCTTCTAAGACAAGAAGGTTGACATCTATTAGGCTGAAATTGAGCAAGCTTGATATATACTCAAGGACCTCAAGGCAAGAAGATGTATGCCAATGGCTCTTCAGGATGCGACAGTACCTCCAATTATTTGGAATAAATATTAATAAAGAGATTATATATGCTTCTAGTTATTTCAGAGATAGAACAACTATTTGGTGGTGACATCGAGTTCAAAGCTATGGAGCTCAAGGTAGATTTTGTAATTAAGAGGAGTTTGAAACCAAGATTAAGAGTCAATTTTGATCCATCAATGCAAGAAAGTTAAGACACAATCAATTGGCTAATCTTATATAATTTAAATTAGTGCAAAATTATGTCTCCCAATTCAAGTCCCTATATCTCTAAATTGACAACGTTTCAAAAGAAGAGATGATGGATTGATTTTTAGGAGGGTTGAAATTTGTAATCTAGTGAAAAGTGGAATTAAAAGATCCACAAATGTTTGAAGACATAGTTACGATTGCAAAGAGGGTTGATGCTAAAGATTATAGAAATTCTGGAGTATAACCTATAGTGCAGAATTCTATGCCATTAGCTAATAATATAGTGTACCAATCAATACCGATGGAGATTGATGCTCTATAAGGACCATTGATACCACAAAGATAACAAATATTGGTACAAAAGGGATTGTGCTTTTACTATTGATAGTCAAACCATCAGATCAAAGACTCTCCAAAACGTCAAAGTTTAAGTACCAAAAAATCACAGGGGATTCACAATCTCAAGAACCACCAAGTTGATGAAGAAATAGAGCAAGAAAATTGAGCTCTCCAATAAAGGCACTAAGGACCAATATTGAAGGTAGTTGTTATTCCTTAGAGACAAATGGCATGGCCTCGAACAATTATCAAAAGGATTGACTAGTATGTCTAATGGGTCGACTAAGAACACAACCATGTTAAGTGCTTGTAGGATTGTGACTCTACAAAAAATTGCATCTCAACAATAATTACCTACCAACTTGAGATTAAGATAAAGATGATCAAAGGAGAGAATATATACCTCGCACATGATCGAACGAATATCTTGAGCAAAATAAGTAAAAAAAAAAAAAAAAAAAAAAAAAAAAACTCAAAGACTAAGTAATATTTATGCCTCGAGGGAGAGGTTTAGAATAATAAAGCTTAGATATGATGTTATCCTTAGTATGCCATAGCTAGAGGTGAGAAATAAATAATTCAATTGACTAGCAAAGAGAATTTCTTTCAAAAATGGAAGATATATGTTGACTCTTTGTGCCCTTGTATTGAGTAGGATATCAAAATGATCTACAACTAAGAGCTTTCTTGTAGGAATGATTTTTATGAAGAAACAAATATGGCATAAGAAATTGGTATATATAGTGGTTTTGAATCTTGCTTCAATAGTAAGAAAGATAGCCAAAAGAACAGAAAGGATAGAACAATTCATACATGAATATTGTGATGTCTTTCCAACCAACTTATTTAGTGGTATGCCACGTGATCAAGGTGTCTCCTTTCAAATAGAATTAGTGCTAAGACCAAACCGATGTCGTGTTGTAACATGACTATAAGGTGAAAGATGATAATATGGATCTTATTATAGAAGAGCCAAGTTAAAAGAAAAGGTAGAAAAATATGGATAAAAGATAGAAAGGTAATAAAACTTTTAATAGTAATGCTGCCCTTTTTAAAAAAATAGCTTCTACTTACTTTGTAGGGCCAAAAATAAGGCAAAATAAGGTATATTAGAATAATAAATGATATAGACATCTTTAGGAAAAGGTTAAGAGTAAATTCTAATAAAATTTACTTAGAAAAACTAGATATTGATACCCAGAGAAGGCCGGTTCTGAACTAGGGTCGAAATCAGACCCTGAGGCACAAAACCGAGTCTCGATGGCAACTCTAGGGCTCTTCGGTAGATCGAAGAGTGGGGTTTGAGAGAAGATTGGATAGGATTTTTATGAGCATTGATTTTGGGTGATTTGGAGTTGATATGACTATGTAAGAGCTTTGCAAAGTTAAGGTTTGTTTCGGATGCCTTGGGTTCTATGAAATAAAATAGGATTTACGTTTTGGATGATTATAAGAGTTTTGTAATAGATCTATAGGTGAAATTTGGTGGATTTATGGTTATAGTTGTGTTTAATATGTGTTATAAATTTGAGCTCGATCTAACCATTGAATTGAGGGATATTGAAGATTAAGTGGGTCAAGGTCTCAGAAAGTAGAATTTTAGGTCTAGTGGAGGTTTTTAAGATTTCTTGCAATCTACTAGTTGGATTGGAATGAAACTTATGTAAAAGGATATTAGACTTAATTTTCTATATGCATGAAAATTTTAAGATCAATCGAACGGTGCAATAGAGAGATATTGGCTCTGGAAGATTGGCATCAAGATTGAAGAAGGAGGTCAGCCAATATCCGAGCACATTTTTGAGGTTATCACCAATTTTGTATTTCCGATCCTTTTCAATTTTTTTGTGCTTGTGTTTAACTTATTTTTTTAGAAGTGTGAAAAATTTGAGTTAAGATCGACGGTTTATTCATTAGTTATTGAGGTTTAAATCTGTTATAGGAATTACTAGGATTTGATTTAGGATTTAGGGTTTGGTTAGGGTTTGGTTTAGGGTTTAGGATTTGATTAGGATTTAGGATTTGGTTAGGGTTTTATTTAGGATTTAGGATTTGGTTAGGATTTGATTTAGGATTTAGGATTT